TTTTTCGAGGGTTAACTGCACTTGCGGGCCTCGGCCCCCCCCGGGGAGGGGAGGAGGGGGGGAGGCGAAGAGTGATGGTGGAACCAACAAAAAAAACGGTTCGGGAAAAGAGTTCTGCAGGCCCGAGTTAGACCGCTTTTTGTCCAAACCGCCCTTATATTTAGAATCGGAGGAAGTAAACAATACCAAATGGTATACTCCCAACAACATGTCGTCCGGCGTTTCCTCCTCTTTTTACCTTTCGTGATCCTTCATGCACTTTTCCTCTGTGCTGCCGGTTTACTTTCTCCCATTATGTGGTGTGGTGCCACGCACCGCGCCACCCTACAACCCAACGCAGGCGGCACGCAGTACGCCCTAATGCAAGACTTTCACTTTTTGCCGTTGTTGTTACGACGGTCCTATTTTCCCAGCCGTTTCTTTTGCTTCCTATTTCCCTTGTGCTATGATCTTACGCCATTGAGACAACGCCGACAATTGATCCATGCGCGTGGCGGTACATCCTATTCGGCATATAGATGTATTTCCAGCGTATATTCCAGGGCCTTTTTTTTTCCACGGAGCGGATCGGAGCGGATCAGTTTTACCCGCTCCGCTCCGCGACATAATGGAAAGAACCGCTCCGCTCCGTGAGAATTTTGCCCTCGGATAAATCGCGCTGCTCCGCTCCTTGGAGCTTCTCAATAATTCGTACAAGCGGTTATTCCCCGGGACGGTTTGAGCTACTCCGTCACACGAGCACGGATAAAACGGCAATGCAGTCACGGGTAAAACCCCCTAAAAGTCACGGTTTTCCCACGGCGTCACGTTTTTTTATCGTTTTTCCGTTTTTTCTTAAATATTTTCACAGCAGAAGGTATTAGGCATGTAGTACTGACAAGTTTCAACGAGAGGCAAGTGAGGAATCATCTGCTGTTGGACGTGTTGCAGGAACGTATGAGTCGAGGAGGTATCGGTGAGGGGAACGGTCCCTTTCTGAATAATTGATTGATTGGGCTGACCTAGCGGCGAGGTCGCATACGTTGTCACCGGCGGCCTCCAACCACAGCACACCGTGCGGAAAATCGGTGTTCGGTGTACCAAACCCAACGTTATTCACGAAATCGCAGATACTCCGTCGATTTTGTACGGATATCCGTGCGGTTTCGACGGTTGTTTTCTGACGGAAAGACCTTCCTCAAGGCCACGGTTTCGCGCGATTTAACTACGGAGTAAACAAAACCGCTCCGTGAAAAAAACGCACTACGGATAAACCGCTCCGTCTCATGAAAAAAAAAACGCTCCGCTCCGTGGGACTATCGCCCTCGGCTAAACCGCTCCACTTGGAAAAAGAGAAAAACCGCTCCGCGGAGCGCCGCGGAGCGGTCTTACTCCGTGAGTTACACTGGATATTTCCCTGTCTCGTAACGGGAGGCTGGCCGCCCGCTCCATTGGGGGGCGGGGGGCCAATTGTTCCCCCTTGTTTGACTTGCGGCATTTTGAGTTGAAAATATTCGCTTCGTGTTTCTTCCACACGCCCCTCTCCGATCCCCGCCCAGCATTCTTCTCGCAACGCCTCCAACGTCGGAGAATCAGTCTGCGGTGACGTCCCATCCTAACCGAATAATTGCACTGAAAATACCGCCAGAAAGTAGCTGGGGGGAACGATTGGCCCCCCGCCCCCCAACGCGGCGGGGCGGGCGGCCAGACTCCCGTTGCAATATCTCTAGAAATCGAGTTTGAGTACATGTTCGTAGAAGAAGCGATTCTTTAGCTAAGGTCTTTTGAGTGTAGTGGGGGCGGAGGAAAAGGCGATGGCGTAGCCAAACAGGCATGTGCCATCGTTCTCTTTTCCGGAAGATCTTGATGCGGTCGTGCTAGGTCTTTACCCCTTCACCAACACCGAGCAGTATATTTGTTTTGCTCAGCGCGATCTGAGAGCTACATGCACACGCCCAAGCACTCGATCAAGCTGCGGGTGCACGGCATGCCGTCCATTTGTTTGGTACACATCGGCCGTGGAAATCTTTCCAACCCTAACCCACCCTGATGGCTCCTTCCACTTCCACCTTCTCTGACCACGTGCATGCATGCCTGCTTCATCCCATTCCTGTCCAGGGCATGCTCGACAGCGACATTCCCGCCGCGACGAGGCAGGGAAAAACCGGATCTTTCACCTGGGAAGGCAGCAGTTCCGACGCGGTCTCATGCGAGATCGGGATGCCCCCCGGACAAGCCTCGACAATGAAGAGGTATTTGTGGGGCGCAGTTCACTTTTTGTGTATTGCAAAGATCACATCATGCTTAAAAAAACAAATAAGCACGTCATGTTGATATGTACGGTGCGGAGGACAGGCTCACGCTCTTGTATGAAGAGCCTCAGTTTCGCGGGTTAACATGCTTCCATTCTAGGGCTAGGGGCGAGTGCTCTACGATATCATGGTGAGCCCGAGCCGCTGTTCGAGATTAAAACTAAGCGTTCCAAATGCATGCCGACTAACCAGAGGGGCTTTTCTGACAAGCGAGGCTTCCGAGATTGTTTAGACGTTGTCGAAGAGAGTTTCACTATGATATCAGGGCAAGACGACCGTCCTGGATGCGGCATACAGCTTTCTGCCCGGCGTTGGGGGCGAGGCAATGGACCGTATGCTTGACGACGTCAGCGATGTCCTCGACCCTACCAAGGGCGAGGCGGGTGCGCCCACCAACCTCGAACGGGTGAAGAAGGTCACGGGTGCGGAGTACCGTTCTGTGTTGAACTTCTTGGACACGAGGGTTCAAGGATGGGATCGACAGATGGGAGGAATGAAGCGAACTTTCTCCGCAGACGGCGTCATGGGGTAAGCATGGCACTCGTGTTTGTTTTCGTTTTGGGTTTGATCTAGCAACACACAAACACAGGCGCCGCCGAGCCTTTGCTTGTCGACCTTCCGTGCTAGTGTCCAACCATGTTGCAGGCCGCACTCAAACCCAGCATGTTTTTCATACCCTACCCTTTTCGAGCGCACTTTTCGTAGGTGTTCTTGAACGTACCTCCCAAACAATGTCCTTTTGCCACCCGAAACAAGTGGGCCTGCCCTCAACATAGGTCAGAGTGGAAGGCGAGTAACGTCAAGGGTACCAGCGCGACCGCAAGGCGGGCAAGCAGCAGCGCCCGTAGGCCAATTAGGCCGATGGCCCCGGAACCACGCGAACCACCTGCAGCTTCACGTTGCAGTTGTGTAATTACTTGATCCGTTGTGCTAGTGTTGAGAACATGGGGGGAGGGAGAACAGGGAGAGGGCATCCCGTTCCGTTGTACTCTTGCCACCTTAAGCATATTATCTAGACATTGCAAGACGTAACCTCGTAGGTTGGCTCTTCGGAGACGCTTCCTTGCATGTGCCGCCAGGCTTGACCGTTTTCCATGCGATTATGGCCATCCACTCAACAAGTGTATTGTACTTGCTTACATGTTTTTCGGCGCTGTAAGCGCCTTTGGCTAATCGTTTCGGTTTCCCGTTTTTTTGCGTTATTGGGCGGTATCGCTGCTCCAACGCACGGGCGCTTAATGTTTTTCCTAGGTGTGGTTTCTCGTAGGTGAAACGTGTTTGGCGAGGTCATCCCAAATCTGGTAGGGTTGAACATGTGGTGGCCTGTACCTTGCTCGGGAGCGGAATCGCCCCCCAATGAAATCAGTTTTGTCCAATATTGGCCGTTGTCTTTAGTATTCGAGTTGCTGCTTCGACTTTGTTGCTTATGTCAGACAGGCCAGATACCTTCCTCCGTTCTAGGCGAGTTACTCCGCTGAACACAGCAATTCGATTGATTCTGGTCGTGAGGAATCAATCATCCTTTAATTATATCCATTGTTGAACAGCTTTACGTAGGTTGTGGTGCGCTTGAAGTCAGGTCCGTTGATGAAGTTGTTAGATTAGCGGGGAACATATAGACCACCACCCAGGTATGCTCGGCCGTTTTCTGTTTTCCTGTAGAATTAAGCACCACTTCCCTGGTTCCGGCACGGCCACTTAGATCGGAGAATTCGGCTGCAAGCGATAGCTCGTCGTTTTCGCACTCTCACCGTTGGGGAAACATTTGAGGCAGTGGGGGTCTGTTTGGGGGTAAATTCGCTCGTATTCTCGGTGTTGGAGTTGCTCGCAGAGCTCCAGCACTAGTCTACACAGCTGAGGCCGGTGCAAGTCAAGTCCGGTGACGGGTGGAGAGGAAACAATCCACATCAGCTTGGTCGCGTGTGATCCGATAGAATCGGTCATCGTCCAGGTAGAGAGGAAGACTGGAGGGTTTTATGCCCAAGGGTGGGCAATGGCCCCGAAAGTTGGACGTGTATCATTTCCCATGGTACCATGCGAACACGCAACAGCACCATGAAAGTGAGTTTTGGGTGTGCAAGAGCTGGGAAGGAAGTGATGGCTAGTAAGCATGCTTGCATCGCATCGATCGGCGATTGAGGTCCTTCCGGTCGTTCGTGTGGTTTTTACTAAAATTTGACATGTTTCCGCCACGTGAGGCGAGATGTCATTTACCAGGTACTGATGATATGGACGTTTTTTTTCAGCAATGCGATGATTGTTACTTCATCGTCGTGCACGAATCCCAAAATCTTGCCGAGATTTCTCCTTCGACCTTTCGTTCGTCCGTGTCACCTTCTGTATTCATGTTCTCCCTTCCATTCATGGGTCTCTGGTCACCCCCCGGTTCATGCGTTCTTGACTTGCACCCGCTGCGTTTCGGGTCTCTGTTCTCTTTAGTGTATCGGTACACCACAAATATATGTGCGGGTTCTTGTTCCCAGACCACATCGGAACTGAGCACGTAACTTATTTCGGCCATGTTCTTAGGTTGTTGAAATTTGTACAGACCACATTTCTTGACTACGAAGTGTATCACGTGACGTTTGGCAGCGTTGCTCGGGTCGTTGTTGGCGCGTAATCGCCAACCAACGGGGCTAATTCCTCAACAAAGCGCCGTCTGTTTCATCGCGAAAATCTGATGAACGGTGTGTGTTGCGATTTCGCCTCAATCTCCATTCGGGGCACCAGTCTACACCTACCGTTTTTTTTCCTCCCATCATTGGACTCTGTCGTCTGCCTCTCTGGTCCCCATCCTCCACGTCTACTAGCTAGACGACCCAACGGGGGTCACATTGGAGGTGGGGTTGAACCCCCTCCTGCGGTTCCTGCCTGAGATATTTTTATCGCGAGAAGGGTACAGCAATCCCTTCCCTCGCGACTTATGAAGTCGATCAAGTTTACTAACAACGAGCTTTGACCTGTGTATCGTTGACTGACTCGACGCGGGTCAGACCCTGTGGTATGCTCGCGTAATTAGAGGTTAGGTTGGACCCAAATCCTGAACAGCTGTGAGAGGGCCTGTCCTGTTGGTTGACTTCCGTAGCGTGACTTCAGCGTGGGACTCAACGCACCTTCGCGAATCACACGTCGAAAGCATTGAATCCGAATCCGCATCGGTGCGCCATTTATTCTTCCATTCTTTCCAAGTCGCCTTCTCATTCCTTGACAACCCAATCCTCATCACTGGCTCCCTCGCTACAACGTGCTAGCTAAACGACGACAACCGTGTCGCTTATCGTCGACCACGTCCGCCGCCGCCGCCCCTACCACCACCTCCTCCTCTTCCCTCTCCCACCAACACGCCGACCACCACCTCGCCCCTGCCCCGTGCCTCTGCCGCCACCCCGCCCCTCCCTCATACCACCCCTATTACTGCTATCTCGTCCACCGCGCCCCCCTCCGTTCCTTGAGGCGCCGGGGCCGGGTATGCCTATGCCCCCCGTTCGCATGCGCTTGGTCCCTCCTCGGAGCTTGGCCGACTCTTCCACCTTTCTCCGCTTCTGGATCTACCAAGAAGTTGGTTCGGAGGGACGGCGGGGCGAGTGGGCAAGAGAGGCACGTGTGGTGATCAGAAAGTTGGCCTTGTGGGTCCAGTCTTGAGATACGAGCCAGAGAGGTGAAGGATGCCGATGACTCGCAGCGAGCTCGAGCACAGGAGCAGAGAGGCATTCATACGTCCAATTTACTTGCCCAAGAATGTGGCGCCGACTGCTCTCCGCTACCACACAGTTAGGGGTGTCAAAGCGGCGGAATTTGAGGGGGGCACGCGGATTTGATTCTTTTTTTGGTTTTTGAGAATCCCGCTGTTAATACTGAATAAACTATGCATCAAGTCAATTTGTTTGTGCAGGCAGCTCGGCGTCCAGACATCAGCATGGCTCTTCATGCGTTACACACACCTGGACACAGGTCCAATAAAGGTGACTGTAAGGTTGGTCTTCTTTATGTACAAGGGCGGACGAAGAACACCAAAAAACATGTTTTTTTGGACTCTTTGCTCCACCCCCAAGGCGCCCAAGGCAACCTTTGCTCCTCTCGTGAAAGCTACCTTACAGCCCTCTACCTTGGGTTTACAGCTATACCACACAACAAACCGCATCCGAATCGCATCAGCCAACCACGAGATCTACATGTCTGAAAACGGCCCCTCCAGTAGGGCTGCAGCGCCCACACCAGCAGACCCTCCCAAAAAAAAAATCGAGATCCGCGCCGTTCGGCGGCAGGAGGCGCGCTGCGCGAAAGCTGAATCAAAACAAAACTAAGTTTGAAGAGAGGACGGGGATGTCTGTGGCTGAGGCGTCAGCAGCAGACAACACCCGGCGAACTATCGAGCGCGGCGGCGTCACCGCCGCGCAGAAAGCGCTGCAAAGAACGAAGGAGGAGCTGGCCGAAAGTAGGAAAAGTCAGGAAGAGAGCAAAGCTGGTTACAGCATGGCTCTGGAGTTTGCGCGCGAGAAAGACGAGGAGCTCAAGTCGGAGCGGGCGCGGAGACAGCCGGCCGAGCAGGAGAAGCAGCAGGCCGAGCACGAGAAACAAGCCATTGGACGAGAGAAGGAATCGGCGGTGGCGGGACAGCGCCAGGCGGAAGAGAGAACCCGTTGAATAATCAGAGCACACACACGAGCGGCGCCCTCGCGCGTGTGCGTCAGAGGGTCTGTTCGGGAGATTCCGACGGTTCCGTGCAATTTCATTTGTTGGTCGGTTTTCCATCAGCAACATCCGAGGACGCTTTTTCAATTTTTTTCCTACAGGAAATTTTCCGCTTTGACACCCCTAACACTTATTGTCCTATTGAAGATCTTGGCATGTTCCCCTCTCTTTCTGTCGTCAGTCACGATCGTCCTTCTGTTGCACCACGGCGAACAAGACAAAGCGAGCATCGATGTGGGCATGCGCACATCTCCACAACTCGTGATATCTTAGGCGTCTCAAGAAGGAACTTTGTTTATACATCAGGGGGCGCACGGTGTTTCTTGAACCGGTCGAACTTGCGAGAGGTGTTTAATTTTGTTGCATCTTGGGGTCTCAGGTCTGGAGGAACTCGTTGGAGTGGTCACTTTCTCGGAGAGCTAACTTACAAGTCGTCAAATTCGCGTCTTGAATCATCAAACATCCATGTCGGCACGCGCACATCTCCACAAGGTAGTAGCAAAAACGTCAAATTTGCTACAGGCGTTCATGTTGCAGTATGTCAGGGGTATCATACATGGAGAAACCCTTTGGAGTGGTCGTTTCTCTCGGAGAGGTAACGACAACGTCGCGTCTTCAACCGAACTCTGTACTGTGATATTTCACCTTCCCGGCTTCTGTGCGATCCCTTCGCCGCTCTGCCGCCGCAACCGGATCCGTGGCCTTCTCCACCGCACGCTGCCGCTTTCGCTCCACCCGCTTCCGAGAGATCTCCATGGTGACTCCCGTCAAGGCCTCTAGGAAGCGGCCGCTGCCAACCTGCCAACCTTCTCCTCCAGGAGTTCCATCACCTTGGGGAGGGGCGGCAAAACGGGGGGCGGGGCGGGGTGGCGCACTCTCATGTTTTGCATGCCGTAGCGGTTGGATTGACCAACGCGTCGTCGAGAGGACGAAACGGGGGGCAGCGGCGGATCGGCCAAACGGGAGAAACCACACGTTGGAGGGGGGAACAAAAATAACAATCATCGTCGCTTGTAACACCCGGCAGTGACAACGCAAATAAAGCTGCATCTTTCGAAAGACGCTCTGGTGATCGGATAGTGGCAATGCAACAGCTGCCTGCCCCTTCTGACAACCACACTCTGGTACCTCCTCCTTTGCGCGCCACTCTCCACTCACCTCCGTCGCTAGTTCCGCAGCAGTTTGCTCCTTCTCAGCAGCTGTGCCCTCTCCCCCACCACCGCTACCGCCGGCATGAGACCCCCTAGCTTTGTGCTCCACCCCGCCCGCCTCGGCGTCTAACACCGCTCTCCGCAGCGGCAGAAGCATGAGCTTCAGGTAGAAGCATGAGCTCCAGGTGGGCCACGGAAACGGCGGGCTCGTGAACGGCCACCATCGCCAGGAACCAGCTGAACACCGCTCGCCTCCGTGCCTCTCCTTTGGGCACCACCATGTGGGACGTGCGCTTGAACACCCATCTCAACGGGTCTGCGGCACCGGACGTGGTAGCCTTACCACCGCCGGCGAGAGAAGAATCGGCAGAATCGGCGACGGCGGCGGCTTCTCCGCCGTCATCGTCAACCCCCTCGCTGTCGCTTGCGTCGTCCATCGCCGGGCTTTCCGTCCCAGAGGCGTCTTCTTCTTCTTCGACGGCGTCCTCAGCGAAGCATAGCTCCGGGTTGAGGTGCATCGCACGGCCAATAAACACCAGGTTCTTGACGCACTGCTCCGTCAGTTTCGGGTCCACCTGTGGATGGTTGGGAGTTGAGAGATGAAAAGGAACCAAGCGAGAGGAAATTTCCTCCTGAAAAACTCTAGGTATTGGCATCCCTTCATAAAACGAAACAAAAAAGAGTTGGGGATTTTTTTTTTTTTCGCTTCAAATCAGCGCTCACAGCACTAGTGCCGTTACTCCAACCCGTGGTCACACGGAAGGGCCTCTTTCTACCCTCCCCTCCTGCGATACGTTGCCTTCGATTGTTAATGCGAGAAGAGTTCAGCACTCTCTTCTCTCTGTGTACACAAGAACTAGCACTATCCACTTGGCCAGGAGCGGAAGCGGGAGAAAAACTCACTTTGCAAGAAAAGCTCGCTTATGCCGGGATTCGAATCCCTGACCTGACCTCTAGAAGGTTTCGAGAGAGGACACCAACTAGACCACCGGGGCGACCGGGTGCTGAGAGATGAAAATGAAGCAACCGAGAGGAATTTCCTTGCCCAAAAAACTATTGCTTACGTCCTTTGCACACGACGACTCTATTTTGAGAATATGGGAGAACTTTGAGCATCACGGGAATGGTCCACACCAGACTAACCCCTCTGAGGAGCTCCGGGTCAAAATCATCTCACACGGGGTGTGTTCTCTCTGTGCCCCCTATCTCTCCTTGATCTCCAAATGTACTTTCTCAAAAGTGTTGTAGATATAGGCGACTACTTCCATAAGCACCCCAGCGTCTGCTCCACCGAACGCAGACACAAACTCAACAAAAACCGGGTGGAGCGGGGGAGGGAGGGGGGGGGCAGCAAGATACAGCTTAGCGCACACATACATGCCTACGATAACGAAGCGTTCACGCCCTCCCCCCGCAATATCAGCAGCACTATCATCCACTGCCTCCCTATGGTGCGCACCTGCGACCTGTTGAGCTGAGAGCACAGGTTCTGGCACAGGCGGAACAGGACACGCCTCCTTGGAAGGAAGTCCTGTCCCCCGTCGTCTCCCCCGGCTCGCTCGCCGGCAACATCACCCCGCCGCTGGCCCCGGCATTTCGCTTTCAACTTCCCGGGTGTTGAGTCACCTTGGACTTGCTTCGGTGTCTGGCGTCTCTCTACTTGGCCACCGCCACCGCCATTGCCACCGCCGCTGCCGCCGGCGGTTACGGTCAGGGGCTCTGGATCCCTCTTCGAGAAGAACGATCCCCAAACGCGGGCGGCCGCGAGGCGCACCCAGGCATCCTGGTACAGCAACGCCTCCAGTAGCCGATCGAACAGCCCATCACCTTCATCGCCGCCACCTCCGCCCCCGCCGCCCCCGCCGCCGCCGAGGCAGAAGACGCTGGAGAGCTGGTCGAGGTTGGGCTCCGGGAGCCGTCGGAGGAGCTGGGAGCACAGGTTGAGGGCCGCGAGGCGCCCCTCGGCGTGCTCGTAGGAGACCCCGCTGATGATCTGATTGGTCGGGACAAGTTGGAGCAG